ACACACAGACACACACACACACACACACACACACACATCCCAGCATGCATTCCCCAGCTGACGGCCTCCCGAGCTAGCTGCCTGCTTGGCCCAGATCTGTAGAGGCCCCAGGCTTGGGGGACCAGCCACCCCGCCGAGCCCTGAGGGTGGGTGCGCGACATGATTTGATGGGGGAGGCCTGGGGTCTCACCCGTCCTGGCGTGAGCACAGAGCCGGGAGCCACCTTGAGCACGGGTGGTGACCCAGGCACCAAATAGCAGCGGCAGCCCACGGAGAAAGCGAGCACTGTGCTCTCGGGCCACTCCCCAGACAGACCCCAGGAGCTGCCGGGACTCGGCCCCTGGCCTGGGCGCCCTGCCCGCCTCCCCTCCGGGTGGGGGTGGGACTCCGGCCCCAGGACCTCCCGTTCCTCGACTGCAGGGACCCAGGGTTGGGTCGGCAGCCGCTAGCCGGGTGCCTCGGGGCTCTCGCTCCCCGCGGCCACAGCCTGGTCTCCCCCGAGGAAAGTGGCTGGCGGGGCCCCTCCCCGGGCCACGGGAAGGGGCTTGAGGAGTGGCCCGCGGGTGAGGGTCGACGAGGCTGGGTCTGTCTCTCCCTCCTCCGCGCCCCGAGCCAGAATCTCTCCTGCTGACCGCGAGCTGTCCAGGCCCGGCCTGACGCCTCCCTGACCTGGTTTCTGAGGCCGCCGAGAGCGTCGCCCCCACACCCCCCGCCCGGCCCCGCGGCAGCTGAGGGTCTGCGGTGACGGGCCAGCCGGGCGGGAACAGCTGAGCCCCGCCTCGGACACGGACACGTTAGGCGAGCGTTAGTGATGGATAATGACGCTGATTAACCCGGTTCCTCTCCAAACAGCCAATGGCTGGCCCAGTCCGCTCAGCACGGCTCCATCCGGGCAGGGCTCCGGGCCGGGACCGGTTCTTCCAGCCCTCCTCGGGACGCCCGGGGCAGCGGCACGGAGACCCCAGCCTGCGGCCCCCCCAAAACCGCCCGGACCTGCCAGCCCTGGTTCCAGGCGCTGAGGAATCCCGGCTCCATTCTTTTTCAGATTTCCAGTCCCTTCTTTAGGAAAACTTGATTCCGCCAGCCCTGTCCTTAACCTGTGAAAACTCCCTTGGAGGCCGGTGACCACCACACCAGTGGCTTTTGTGGTGGAGCTCCCCGTCCTTTCAGAATAGGGGGGACGGGTCGGGGCTGGGGGCCGCCTCTCTCGAGGCTCATGGATTCACTTTCGACTGGGAAAAGCCTGGAGACGCTTTGTTCCCAAACAGGGAGGCACACGGAGATTTTTTAGGCAGGACTGGTGGAAAACGGGAGTCCACGGGACCCCATCCTCACGGTGCCACGGAGCCCGCGTCGTCAAGAAACGGACGTTAAATTTGGAATTTTGATAAATGAATATTCCTCGCAAGTGAATAAAATGTATTCAATTAACTAAAACCCCCTTACACTTCTGAACTGAAGTGGAATCGACTGTAATTGATTTATTTGAAACCAGAGGTTAAGGACTGAATTAGCTAAGTACAGCTGGGTATTTCAAGCCACTGACTTCTCAAATGTCAAATCCCTTCTATTTTAAATATTATTTCAGCTGCGGGGCATTGCCGTCCTGCCGGTGGTTCCATCAAGAGCGGGAATGATATGAATATTCGATCTGGGAGAGGCCCGGGCAGGGCGGTGGGTTTCCAAGGAGGTGCCCGCCTCCTCCGCCCACCACCATCGGATTCCCGTGGAAACGGGGTGCATCGGTGATCAGCAGAGTCCGGGAGCTGGCGGGGGGCGGAGGACGGGGGAGGCAGCTGTCCCCAAGGCGGGTCAGCCCAAGGAGGGTCACCGCTGGCTCTCAGCCCCTGAGGTGCAGAAGCACGTGGGGGCCACAGCGGAGGGACGCGACACCCAGCCAGTTCAGCCTCTCGCCCTGGAGCGGAATTCCCAGCACTGCCCCTCTCTCATCCTCTGGACGCAGCCGGAGCATCCCGGGGCTGTTCTGCTCGTTAGGAAGGGAAAGAGCCAGAGAGCAGAGCCCTGGCCCGCGCGAGATCGCGGACGCCCGAGGGGAAGCGGCCGCGGCGGGTCTGGCGGACCTTTGTCTGCGTGACCCGCGCTGAGCCCGCTCCCAGGGACGAGGCTGGCCCCGGGCGCTCCAGCCCCACGCGCGTCTGCGAATCCCGGCCGGAGTGAACGGTGTCTAACACGATGGTTCCCGCTCGGAAGGGAGCATTATTCGGGCGTCACGGGGAAGCGCGGCGGGTGAGAGCCCGGCTGGACGCGGGCGGCCGAGGAAACCGGCTCGGAGAGACAAAGCCCACGGCAGCGGCGTCACCTGCCCGCGTCGGGAGCGTGTGCGGTCAGGGTTCACGCGCCTCATTATTCTGTTACATCTACGTTCCGGTTAACCAGTCTCTCTAGGAAATAATAAATAACCGCTTTAAAAAACAATTGCCGCCTTGCGTTCTGAGGCTGCACTTTCCATTTGAAATTTAAAAAAAAAGAAAGGGAGGGAAAAAAAAACCAACCAACCAACCAAGCACCATTGTTATGGATTCTCTGGCTTTGGAAAATAGAATTTAGACCCACCAACTCCCATTGGTCTGCGGAGATCAATTTCCTCCCCTTCCATAAGGAGATTAGAAAGCAGCTCTGCCGGGGCTGCAGGGCCCAGCGCCCACCCACACCCGCGCCTCTCCCTCCCGGCCTCCCCCACCCGCGGGGCTGCACCCCCACGGGCTCCCTCACCGCCCTGCCCCGGAGGGAGGAGAGGGACTTGGCCAAAGTCCGGGGACAAAAGCTCTGAGTGGGCCGTTTGTCTGCCAGGAAGTCCTTCCTTGGGGCGAGACACAGGCGCGCGCGCGCACACACACACACACACACACACACACACACACACACACACACTCTCTTACACACACGTACACACACACACTCACACACATACACACACTCACAATCGCGCACACTTGAGCTCACACACATACACAGGTAGCAAGATGGGGGCAGCATCAAAGCCCCCACCACCCCCCACCCGGAAGGGTGGGTTTATGTGGGGTGACGCCAAGGCCAGCATCAAGGGGGCGCCCGTCCCACCCACCCCTGCGACTCGGGCCACTCTAGAAACACACAGGTCCACCCCACCCCCACCCTGCACCTCCACTTCTACCCTGAGTCCCTCTTCCCCAAATCACAGGGACCTGCCCGTGGGGGGCCTGGGAGGGAGGCGAGGGGTCTCTGCGCCCGAGGGGTCGCAGTGCCCACCCGCCCACAGTTGGGGGTGGGGATTTGCTGCCAGGTGCCCTGGGCGGGCCTCGGTCTTCCTCACCCTCCGAAGGGTCTGGCTCCTATGTGGGCTTCCAAGACACAAACGAAAACCTAAAGGATCAACATAAATAAAATAAAACTTTATTTTTAATAATAAAATTAATGCGTCTGGGAGGGGAACGACGGTCCGTCATCCCTGCCGCCGTGCAAACCATCCTTCACCGGAGAGGACACACCAAGCTTTATTGTGCCATTTGTCTGCGCGCAGGCTCGGTGGAACATCTAAATGGTACCCTGCGCTGAACTCCAAGTTGAAAGGAAGTTTTTATTGTACTTGAGGGAAACAATGGGTTCAGCTGCTTACTGCAAGGACGATTGCCAAGGGAGAGTTAAACTCAATTACTGTAACCATACTGAATAAAAAATACTGCCAAGGACAAAAAGACGCCTGGGTAAAGACAGCACTGAATAAAAAAAAATCGACATAAAGCGTATCAAATATTTATTTATCTGGGCAACAAAGGACTATGATACATTGACAAACACGGAGATGGTTGCCAGCCCGACAGCGAGAGGAGGGCCGTCCCCAGCGGGCAGTGCAGACAGAATGCCGGGGTCCCCCACGTCTGAAGTTGTCTGAACAGAGAGAGCGAGAGGGAGAGGCCTACCCCTGGTGCAGGGACCCCCTTCATTTATTGCTCAAATAATGCCGGGAGGAAGGACGTGGGGGGGGCGGGGGGCTTTTATCTCCCCCTCCCCGAAATCCTCAGGAGGTCAGAAGGGTCATCCAACCACGTGAGTTTTCCAAAAACAGAAACAGAAAAAAACTTTTTCTCTCGGTTCAATAAACAGCTCACGGGAATACTAATTATATATAAAATTTTATTTGGGCTTTTTTTTTAAAAAAAAAAACAAATGAAAAACAAACCAAAAAAAGACGTGTTCAGCTGTTTCATTGTTGTCTTTCACATGCTACAACAGGGCTAAATTCAGGACTCCAGACGGAAGGGCCCCCAGCCTTGGGTCTCGAGCGAGGAAGCGAGAGTCACATGGAGAAGGAAGAGTCGAGCCACGAAGCGAGAGGGAACAAGGTCACCAGATAAATAAAAAAAAGGGGGGTGGGGGCGGGGGGCTTCGAACAGACTCACCATATTTACAATCCCATTAAATTACACATAAATAAATCTGTACAGAGACGCGAGCGGCAGGCCCGCTGCGGAGGGAAGTCCACGCCGTCGCCGCGTTCCCTTGGAGAGGACCAGCGCGCGCCACCAACGCGCCACCAACGCCGGGCCACGGGCCACGCACGCTAGAGTTTATTCGCAATACTGATAAGAGTGTCATTCTCCTGGGCCTCGATCGCTCGGCGAAGGCGTCCCGGCAGCACGATGGGGTGGGGTGAGGGGTGGGGGGTCGTTCTGTTTTGTTTTTTTCATTTTTATGTTCTTTTTCTTTTTCTTTTTTTTTTAGAAAAACAAAGTCTCAAAATTGTGTGTGTGTGTGTGTGTGTGTGTGTGTGTGTGTGTGTGTGGTGGCGGGCGTCTTCTCTGCGCTTCTTTCTTTCTTTCTTTCTTTCTTCTTCGGGAAAAGAAAAGAAGGTCCCCGGGCTGGGGCGACGCGCGTGCGCGCTTCTCCCTCCCTGGCGCGTGGCTTGGGGCCCGCTGTGCTCCCTGGGGAGGTCGAGGCAGGGCCTGAGCAGCAGCAGTAGCAGCAGCAGTGCGGGTGCTGGTGGCGCCCGGCCGGCCCGGCCTCACTTCCGGTGCTTCTCCTCTTTGTCGCCGGCCTTGGCGCCGCCGTCGGGGTGGCTGTTGGGGTTGTTGCTGAGGTACAGTTTGTCCATGGCCTTCAGGGCCTCGGTGAGATAGTTCTGCAGGGCCGTGACGGCCGCGCACACGGCCGGGCTGCCGAAGCCGTGCGAGATGAGGTTGAAGTGGGTGAGGCAGCTCTGGATGCCCGGCTCCAGGATGGGGTTGGGCCGCGAGTTGCCCAGCGGGGAGCGGTCCTGGGCCAGCAGGTCCGTGAACTCCTTGCAGATCTGCCTGCGATCAGCGGGGCGAGGGGGAGCGTGAGGGGAGCCGAGGGCCCGGCCCTGCCCTGCCCTGCCCTGCCCTGGACCCTCAGGGCCCAAAGCGGCCCTCCCCCTTCCAGCCCTCCCCCTCCCTTCCCTCCCTCGCCCTCCCCCTTCCTCCCTTCCACCCTTCCGCCCTTCCGCCCTTCCGCCCTGCTGGAGAGCAGACCCAGGTGACAGAGCAGGACCTGGGCACGGAGATTCCAGGGCCCGGGAAGAAAGAGCTCAGTGGCCCACCCCACCTCCTCCCCACATCCCGGCAAATAATCCACACCAGCTGGAGCACCGAGAGCGGGAGCGTGGGACAGAGAGAAGGGTGGGCTTTGGGAAGGACCCCAGAAGCCCCTCAAGAGGCGGGGGGCGGGGGGTGATAAACACAGCCCCGCCTGAGGCCACAGTCCCCCGTGACTGGGCTTCCACCGGCCGTGGGACTCCGAGCACATAAGGCAGGAGTCATCTGCTCCCCCCCCCCCCCCCGGGCGGCCTGAAGAAGCTCACCCAGCCCGACACCCACGGGGACCCTCAGCCCCTTGCTGACGGCTGCCTGTGGGCACGTCTGGGATCCTCCGTGTGCGTCCGTGCCATGCCCGTGTGTCCCTGCACCTGTGTCCGTGCCTGAATACACACGAGTACGCGTGGGCACATCCGTGCACAGCTCTGCGTCTGCGTGCATGTACACATGCACCGTGCAGCGCCCACGTGTGCGCACACGCACACGCGTGGTCATGCATGTGTGTGCGTGTGTGTACATGTGTCTGTGTGATGCACATGTGTGCTTTGAGTGCGTGTGTCTGCGTACACATGGACACCTGTCTCACGCATGCGTGTTTGTGTGCTGTAGGTGTTTGGCAGAAGGAGAAGGAGTGGAGGGACAGGCCAGAGCGACCGTCCAGTGGGGAGGGCACTGGCCTTGCATCGGCCGACCCGGGTTCGATCCCCGGCATCCCAGAGGGCCCCCCAGCACAGCCACGAGTGATCCCTAAGCTGAGCGCAGAGCCAGGACGAAGCCCTGAGCATCCTGGGTATGGCCCCAAAAACAAATAAAAGATAAAAAAAAAAAAGTGGCTGGTGAGGCCCAGAGGGCTGCAGCGACCTGCTCTCAGGCCGTCGGAGGCTCAAGCCCTGCCGCCACATGGCCCCAGAGCACTGAGGTGGGAGCAGCCCCGGAGTGCCGCCAAGCATGGCCCTCGAAGCAGAGGGAAAAAGGCGGGAAAGGGAATAGGAGAGGCTCAGGGTGGGAGCTGGCACAGGCGCACACAGCCGCCACCCCCGGGCCCCGAGAGGCCAGAGCCCGCGGCCCCCCAGCCCTGTCAGGGCTGGACCCGGCTTCTCTCGGGAGCACCCAGTTGGGAGTCCACGCTCAGCGGCATTGAGCCAGGAGCCGGGAGTCCACTCTCAGCGGACACTGAGTCAGGCGTCTACTCTCCGTGGCGGCCACTGAGCCACGAGTCCACCCTCAGCTGCCATGGGGCCTGGTCCCACTGCGACACCCACCCCCCCATGCGTCCTCCACGCATCCGCTTTAAGACATGAGGAAGACAAGAGGAAAACGCAGAAACCCCCCAACGGTGACCCGGATCGCCCCTTTAACGGCGGAGATAGCACGGGGCTCAGGTGCTGGCCTTGCACGCGGCCGGCCTGCGCTGGGTCCCCCACAACTGCAGGGGGTCCCTCAAGCCGCACCAGAGCACAGATCCCTGAGCACAGAACCAGGAATAAACCCTGAGTACTGCAAGCTGTGACCCAAAAGCCCACGCCCGCAGCCCCCCCAAAAAAAATATTTAAAACTGGGCAATAAATCAAGCAGATGATGGTTGTAAGGCTGGGCTGCCCTCCTTTCCATTTCGGGAGCCGCGCAGACGGAGGGGAACGGGGCGGGGGTGCACCAGGCTACCGGGCTGATTCAAAGACCCCCAGGCCAGGGAGAAGCCCCTTACTTTGTGGCCAGAAGCATGTTTTTCCTCGTCACTTGCTCATTGGGGTCGGAATGTTGTCGGTTGAGAAATTCAGCTACTGCTTTGGCAGGAAATTCCGTCTCGCACACGTACCCAAAGTCTCTGGCGAGGTGCACGGCTTCTCCTGCAGGAAGAAGGGGGTTGGGGCGTCCGGCCCTCCCAACTCGCCCGCCCGGGCTTCTGAGCCCCCAGGCCAGCCGGGGCCCTTCCCCCTTGGGCACTTCCTTCCGGGGAGGGGTGCTGGGCGCCTCTTTTGGGGGTGGGGGCCTGGCCGGGCTGGACGCGCACGCCCCTCCCCCAGCCCCCGGACAGTGCCCCGGCCTCACACCTCAGAGCTTTCCTGCCGGGACCTCGAAGGGGTTACATTTTAACTTGATCGCATATAATTATCTGTTCATCCGAACCGATTAACCAAGAGGATTTGAGGGTCACTCCACCAGGCCGGTCTGTGCTGCTGATTTTCGAATCTTTGGTTTTAATTTCCTGAACCAGTTGGTTTTTACTGCGGGGGTTTCCTGCCATTAGCTCAAGCCCGGAAGAACGCATGCGCCAATTAGCGCATCAAAGCCGGGTCCTCCCAGCCCTTGTTTCCATAAAACCGGCAGCTCTGGAGAAACACTCCTGACTGCAGAGCTCTGCCCGCATGGACGCCCTCACCTGCCCCCAGCCCCCCAGACACCCCATTTCTCTATGTCTCAGACCCGCGGGGTTATGTCGTGAGCGTTCTCCCGGTACCCCCATTGTTTTTAATTTAATGCGACCGGAGTTGAGTTACTGGCCCTGAACCATTCGCTTACTACTTAACAGTTAGGCTGTCATCATCTCGCACACCGTGAACGGTGCCAAGGTGCCCTGCCCAAATTCAGGGTGGAAAATGTTTTTTTTTAAAGTCATTTACAGAGCTGGACCTTGAATTCAATTGTAATGTATCTCCCCAAACACAAGATGCAAACAAGATATAATACCGCCTCTATCAACAGCGGTTTGGATCTAGCTAGTAACAGACTTGGTTTTTTTTTGTTGTTGTTTTGTTTTGTTTTGTTTTTTTCCTATGAACCCGAGACATTTCCAACAGGACACAAATGGCAAACCTCTCTGCACACCCAGATTTAAGCCAACGGAGCATCTGAAAAAATGAGCAGGAGAAGGTCTGGAAGGGACTTCTGCTTTGAGAAGTTTGGAAGCATGTGTGTGTACACGTGCATGTGTGTGCATGAGAGAGAGAGACAGAGACAGAGAGAGAAAGAGAGAGACAGAGACAGAGAGAGAGAGAGAGAGAGACAGACAGACAGAGACAGAGACAGAGAGAGCGAGCGCACACGCAAGAGAGCCCCATAAGCAACTTTCTGCCACGCTTCCAATTCTTTCTTCCTCTCCTATCGAACAATCCAGAGCCTAAAACTGCTCACCTCTCTTCTCCGGGAGAGAAAAACAGAACTCAGGGAGAGAAAAGGGAGCACATGTCTGGAAAACCAGGCCTTCAAGGGCACATAACCCTGAGCTCTCGGGATGGCCTTAAATCAGGATGCCGGTCAGAGATTCCCAAATTAATTCAGGAAGTAACGGTCACGCATTTCTCAAAGGCAGATGTCAGAACAGCTTAAGCGATTTACTGCCCTGCTCTCCAGAGGAGACAGGAACTGGGGGGACACACGGCGGTTCTTAAAAGTGGCCCTTGTTCGGGCCGCGGGGCGGGAGGCGTGTGGGACTTGGTGGGAGAGAGGACGAGGAGCGGAGGTGGAGGCCCCGCAGATGTGAATGGTTTTCCTGGCTTGCAGCAGCTCCCTTCGCCTCCACAGGCAGCCCGGGGGGCTGGGGGGCGTCTGTGGTGCCAGGGGAGGACGAAGGCTGCCCACCGCCCGCGGCCCCTCACCTTCCACCAGGGACGTGAGCAGGGTGACGTTGGCCGCTTTGCGCCTCCCGGCAGGCAGGTTCAGTCCGATTTTGTCCAGCTTTTCTCGTAAAGATCTTCCTCCATTTTTGGACTTGGCCCTGTTTCGCAAACACAGTGGACAGAGGCTTGAGAGAGCCCCGCTGTGTCCACGAGGCGCTCGGGGGTCACTCTGGGTGCGGCGGGGGGGAACCCTATGGGATGGCAGGGATCGGACCCAGGCCGGCCAGGGGGCCAGGTGGGCGCCCTCCCAGGTCTCCTAGGGCAGAGTCCTGGGTCCTGGCTGCAGACAGCCCCGGGAGCAGAGGGCCAGCCCGGCAGGAAGGCCTGGCAGGGCCCATGACCAGCACTGTGCTGGGAAGCCGTCTTGCCCGCCGCCACGGCCAGGCTGGTACCAGGCCGGGACCTCAAGTCCCTCCTGCCCAGAGACACAGCAGACAACCGCTCTCGGCCAGCAGCGAGTTCAGAGGTCCAGTGCCGAGGGTCTCCCTCCTGGCTGCCACCTCCCGGGTCCCAGGGGGTCCTGGCAGTGTCTGTGCAGGGTCTGCTGTGGGTCTGCCCGGAGAAGACCTGAGTCATCATCACCCTCCCGCCGCCAGCTGTCTGTCTGCACGACCCCCCTCCGTCCCCAGGCCCAGCTGGCCATGTCCAGGGCTGAGCTGCCCTTGGGCCCAGGCGACCCAGGGGGGCCTGGGAGACGCGCAGACTGACGCTTCACCAGGCAGCGCCCGGGAGAAAGCGCTGAAGGAAAGCAGCAGGGTGCTTACTTGCACTCCCTGCTCAGGTGCTCTCTGACTGTGTGCGTTAGGTGACACTCCCCTGGGTGCCCGGCCTAGGTGACTCCCCTAGGTGACAGCCCCCGGCCCTGGGCAGCAGCGGGCCGGGGCGCCCAGAGGACGGTGCGGCTCGCCAGGTGCGTGCAGGTGCAGGCGGGGGCGCGGGGTGTGTGTGCCGGGGGGTCCCCGGGGGTCTTGGGGGACGCACAGCCCCATCCGAGCCCGGGGCTGCCCACAGGTGCGCGCGCGGAGGCGGGCGGGAGGGCGGCGCCTGCGCACTGGCGGGCGGGCCAGGCCCCGCAGGACGCGCCGGCGCATGCGCGGCCCCGCCCCCGCCCCGCCGCCGCCCGGGGCGGTGGTAGCGGCCGACGCGGCGGCGCACGCGCGGGCGGGCGGGGCGGGGCCGGGGCGCGCGCGGCGGGCTCGGGGGCGGGGCCGGGGCGGGGCCGGCGCACGCGCGCGGGCGGGCGGGGCGGGCTCGGGGGCGGGGCCGGGGCGGGGCGCGGGGCGGGGCGCGGGCGGGTGGGCGGGGCCTCACCTCCGCAGCACGCCGCCCAGCAGCGACGCGTTGAGGCACTCGGGCGGGGACAGGCGCCGCTGCACTTCCGCCACCGTGACCTTGTACTTCGAGGTGGAGCTGAGCAGCGACAGGCGACCCGGAACTGAACAGAAGACCTCGTTGGGGTTCACCACGCCGCCGAAGAGGTTGTCCTTGTTGATGGGGAGGGCGGACACGGCGCTGCCGCCGGACTTGGACAGGGACACGGGGCCTGCGGAGAGACACGGGCGCGTGGGCGTCCCGGGACCCCGCCCGAGCCCGGCCCTGCCCACCCGAGCCTCGCCGGCCTGGACACCTGCAGGCGCTGGACCCCGCAGGCCCGGCCCCTGTCCACCCGAGCAGGCCTGGACACCTGCAGGCACTGGACACCCGCAGGCCCGGCCCCTGTCCACGCGAGCAGGCCTGGACACCTGCAGGCGCTGGACCCCGCAGGCCCGGCCCCTGTCCACCCTCGCCCCGCCGGCCTGGACACCCGCAGGCCCGGCCCCTCTCCACCCTCACCGCCCTGGACACCCGCAGGCCCGGCCCCTGCCCACCCGAGCCGGCCCGGACACCTGCAGGCCCTGGACACCCGCAGGCCCGGCCCCTGCCCACCCGAGCCAGCCCAGACACCTGCAGGCCTGGACACCCGCAGGCCCGGCCCCTGTCCACGCGAGCAGGCCTGGACACCTGCAGGCGCTGGACACCCGCAGGCCCGGCCCCTGTCCACGCGAGCAGGCCTGGACACCAGGCGCTGGACACCCGCAGGCCCGGCCCCTGTCCACCCTCGCCTCGCCGGCCTAGACACCCACAGGCCCGGCCCCTGTCCACTCAAGCAGGCCTGGACACCTGCAGGTGCTGGACCCCACAGGCCCAGCCCCTGTCCACCCTCGCCCCGCCGGCCTGGACACCCGCAGGCCCAGCCCCTGTCTACCCTCACCGCCCTGGACACCCGCAGGCCCGGCCCCTGCCCACCCGAGCCAGCCCGGACACCTGCAGGCCCAGCCCCTGTCCACGCGAGCAGGCCTGGACACCAGCAAGCACTGGACACCCGCAGGCCCGGCTCCTGTCCACCCTCGCCTCGCCGGCCTGGACACCGCAGGCTCGGCCCCTGTCCACCCGAGCAGGCCTGGACACCTGCAGGCACTGGACACCCGCAAGCCCGGCCCCTGTCCACCCTCGCCTCGCTGGCCTGGACACCCGCAGGCCCGGACCATGCCCACCAGAGCAGGCCTGGACACCTACAGGCATTGGACACCCACAGGCCCGGCCCCTGTCCGCCCTCGCCTCGCCGGCCTGGACACCCGCAAGCCCGGCCCCTGCCCACCCAAGCTGGCCTGAACACCTGCAGGCAGGCCCTGGACATCCGCAGGCCGGGCCCCTGTCCACCCTCACCTCGCCGGCCTGTACACCCGCAGGCCCGGTCCCTGTCCACCCTCACCACCCTGGACACCCTCAGGCCCGGCCCCTGTCCACCCTCACCGCCCTGGGCAACCGCAGGCCCAACCCCTGTCCACCCTCGCCTCCCTGGGCAACCACAGGCCCAACCCCTGTCCACCCTTGCCAGCCTGGACACCTGCAGGCCCTGGGCAGCAACAGGCTTGGCGCCTGACCACCCTCATCGCCCTGGACATGTGCAGGCCCTAGACACCCACAGACCCAACCCCTGTCCACCCTCGCCGGCCTGGACACCCGCAGGCCCTGGGCAGCAGCAGGGCCTGCCCCTGTCCTCCCTCCCTGCCCTGGACACCAGCAGGCCCAGCCCCTGCCCACTCCCCTCCCTCTGCAGGGACTTGCGCTGCAATCAGCCCCCAAGCCCAGCTCAGCGGCCACGGGGTCAGCCCAGGCCTGGGCCGCCTCGGGCAGGGGGCGGCCCTGTTGTTGCCAAATTTAAAAAAAAAATGCGACTCGGTTGGGTCTCCTGGGGCCCACCCATAGCTGGGGGAAAGAAAGAAAAGAAAAGGAAAACCCCAGGCCCCGCAGGAAGGCTGCTCGGATGTGACAAGCGGCCACCGGGCGTCCTCTGGGGGCTCGCCTGGCGGAGAATGCAGGGGTCTTAAGGTAGTTTCAGGGTCCTGGCCGGGCCCACCCAGCCCAGCCGCCCCTCACTGTAATGCGGATATTCTAGACATTTGGGGAAGGAGGCTGGGGGGGGGGGGTTTGCCTGGTTTTGGCGAGATCGCTTGTGACATTAATAGCTCTGGAGAGGCTAATAGACACAATAGGAGTTAAACGAACTCTTGAGAGATTACTAATAAAAGAGCCAATTATCGTTTCGGCTTGGAAAAGAGCATCTCTTAAGATTTATCCCTTGCACAGCTAATTTGACGTGACAAAGACTTCGCAGACGCGAAAGAAAGAAAAAAAAAAAAAGAAAGAAAAATGAAACTTTAAACCAGCCAACAATACAGCGATCGGGGTTCGACGCGCACCCAGAGTCCCGGGCTGTCTGCGGCCCGACTCACGCGGAACACCCCAAACTTTTATTTTCACTTGCTCCGGCACTGCTCGGCCGTTCACCCAGATTCACATCACTCCTCACAGTCGCGCCCGCGAAGGATTACGTTAGTAATTCTGACATCTTTAAGATGCTAATTTTAACCAAAAGCCAAATTTTTGTTAACCTAATTCACCAAGTTTTAAAGCCCTTATACAGCTAATGAGAAATTAAATTGAGGAACTGGAAAGCGGTCTTTTTTTTTTTTCCCCTCCCTCCACCAAGGGGTGTTCAGTTCTTGTTATCATCCAGCCTCCGGTTAATATGAAATTATTTGCGCTATTTTCGTCTTGGGCTCTGAGACACATGGTCACTCAGACAATGGATTAAGCGACCCAACCCGTTGTTTCAGAATGGAAACGCGGCTTCCGGGTCAGAACCACGGTTCCACATTTTCCGTGCGTTGGTCCAGCCAGAGAGCACTGGCCGAGCCGGTCAGGGCCCGAATCAGAACAAAGCTAGCCGGCTGCCATTTCTCTTTCTTGCGCGCTGCCCGGCCGGCGAGGCACTGCTGATCCCTGCCTAGCTGGCTGCGACTTCGGAGCCTTTAGGAAATCCGATTTGCAAAAAAGAAATAAGGGCTCTCGCACGTTCTTTCAAACGGCGCTCAGCCTGTGAGGACATGCTCGGAATGCAGAAGGAAGCGGCTTACCTTTCTTAATTACAGTTTGATCTGGGATGTTAATACCCGGGTCTTCCACATGCTGCAACAAAGGGGACACATGGATGTAAGTGTATAATCAAAACAAAAGGAAATGAATATTCCGTGCGGGGTGGGGGAGGGGTGGAGTGTGGAGGTCCCCCCCCCCGCCCCCCCCCCCCCCGCAGCCATTTATATATAAACATCTACTCCGGCGCTCTGGAATTGGGGCTTTGCAACTGAAGAGGTTTCAGCGCTCACCCCGGGCCGAGCCCTCCTCCCCCCCCAGCAGATGATCCACCTTGGAAGGGGGTGGGGGGTGGGGAATGAAACTTTCTTTGGAAATTCAGGCAAGTCTCGGAGCCTCTCGCACGGTGGGCTCAACCTTTGCAAATGCACCCAGCTTTAGTTTGGCGCCTCTGCGGCTTCGGACTCCGAGGGTTTCCGTGAGGGGCAGCAAAGAAATAAAGCCGGGAAACAATAGAGAGAAGGACCCAGGCGGCCGGCTGCCCTCGAGAGCTGGAACCGGTCGAGAAGCCCTTTAGGGACAGAGTGGTCAGAGTGACCGCGTCCACCAGCCTCCACGCAGCCAAGGCTGAGAATGCGTTGGGTACAAAGGGGCCCACCGCTTCGGCAGGGGTCCCGCAGAAAGCGGAAAATCAGCGAAAGACAAAACCCCTTGAAGGTGGCCAGTCCTGCGACTGCGTGTCCCAGCCAACGGGCTGCTGATGGGTGGGTTTGGGGACGCCTAGGGGGTCCCTTTCTCTTCATTCCGCCTTTCTTTTCTTTCTTTCTCTCTCTCTCTCTCTCTCTTTTCTTACAGATGGATGGGTATACGTGTGTTCGAGAGTCAAAACGTGATTAGAAAGTAAAATGAAATCATGTTTTCTAATGCAGAAACTGACAGGCAATATAATGTCTGGCTGTGTTTACAAATTAGCACAGGGCTGCTGAGATAGGAGGTTTCGCAATCCTCGGCAAACACAGGCATTACCATTTAAAAAACTATTACCTCCTTCTCTAGTCTTTGTCCAACAATAATACTGATTCGAACATTTTCCATTCTGTCTTGGATTTATGCTCCTGTTAATTGTGCCTGATCACAATGATTCCGGGTGGATGGTACTAAGTTGCTTTATTACAGGTTTTATTATACTCAATGCTCTCATTTGTAACTTGCCTAAAGTGCTTCTGGATTTAAGTATAATTAAATTGAGAAATGTTCAGAAATGACTAGTGCTGCAGTTCTGTGTTTTAACTATATGGGGAAATATGATCCCTCTAAGCACGCACCCTAAACCCATAAAGTAAATGTAGTGTGGCATAATACTTTTATTTGTGTTATTTCTAGACCCTGTCCACACAGGGAAGACTGTTAAGTTTAAAACCCCACTGAGATATTAATGATTAAATAATTTTCACCATCGATTTGATTTTCTTAAATATTTAGCAGCCATTCTTAACAGTTGCAGGGAAGGGGAAATTGAAAACAACCCTTTCCTGACCCAAATTCCTTTGAAAGAATCTTTTTTTTCCTGAAGAGGTGGGGGACGGAAGGGAAAGCTCTGAGCTGAGTCCCCCGGTTCCTATTTGATCTTTGGGTTAATTTCTCCCACCGACCAATTTCACCACAAAGGGCGTTGAGAATTTACACCGGCCACTTAGGAATTTTCGTGCAAAGGAGAGCAATTCTAATTCAGAGTAGTGCCCAAAGCTTACAGCGTTCTTTTGCAATTCAAATAGTTTCAAGGCGGCGGCCGGGGGAAAGGATTCGGGGCCTCTGGAAAGCTAGCTAAAAGGAAGACAAGTTCCCAATTTGGTTTTTTAATTGTTCTTCCCTGAACTCTCCATCCTCACATTTACTTCCTCCCAAAAGGCAGCTTCGTACCAATTTCTTAAGCATGTAGGAACACATACACACACACACACACACACACACACACACGCACAGAAATGTTTACTAAACCCCTCCATGGCTCTAAGCACCCAATTCCTGCTTTCCCCAAGCTCCACATCACCAACAAATTCCAGTTATTAACTGGGTCAAACGAGGACTGTAATAAATTTCCTATTTCCTCATGTAACTTAAACAATGTTTTAAATTCACCGAGCTAGCAGGTAAGTTCATCTGACCATTTTCTCCGCAATCCAATGCCGTAATCATTAAACTGTCAACGGACATGCCGCCGCAATATCTGATGCAGTAATTCGAAAGAGCATTTTAGCAAAAATCACATCCAGGCACATTTCCTCTCCAGAGCAAAGCAGCATTAACAGAGCCTTTACAGCCTTAATAAAATTATTGGCTTGTTCTAATTCCATCTCAGGACGGCTGTGAGGAAGCCATAAATATGCAGGACTGAAGTAGGGTCAGGGTGCTGGTTTAAATTTAATTCCAGAAAGTATTTTCAAATTATCAATAAGCCTGGCTGGCATGGCGAACCGGGAGCGCGCGAGTGCCATGCTTACTCAGAAATCATTTCAAACCGCATTTATTGATAACTGAATTAGAACTCAAGTAATGGGTTGCCCAACGGTGTCAAAACGTTTCATTTCATAGGGGTTGTGGCGACTTCCGATGCGCGCTGGGAACCCGGCTGGCGGCAGGGGAGATGGTCACTCTGCGCCCCGGGGAAGGGGAGAAAGGGGTGGGCGCCGCGTTCCCAGGCCTTCGCTCCTTAACCGGGCTGGGCCCGCACGGGGCTGCGGCGGCCCCGGTCCTCGCCAGGGTCTGGGAGACCGTGTCCGCGCCTCGCGGAGACCTTCCTCGGGGTTACGAGGGCATTTATCGAGCCGTTTCTGGGGGACGGGCGGGCTGGCACCCCCTCGTCCAGCCGGGGAGAAATGCCCACGCCGCCGGCCGGGTCGGAACCGAGCCTGGCAGCGGCCGGTGTGAACGGCGCGCCCGGCCGGAGGGTGCGAACGGGCGGGCGAGCGCGCGTTACCGTGGGGGTCCGGGGAAGCCTTGGCCGCGAGGGCGCGACCCTCTCTAAGTCCTGGGGTCGCTAAAGTGGGGTGTGCGCCGCCTCGCAGGGTTCCCGAAGCGCCTCCTCCGGCCCGCCAAAACAAACCGATCCCCCTCCAAAGAAAAACAGCCGAGCAGACACAAAGAACGCAGCGCAGCCCCCGGCGCGCAGCCCCCAGCGCGCAGCCCCCGCGCGCGCCCTTACCGGGACGTCCTCGATGGCGTGCGGGAGGGAGTGGAGCGGGAGGTCGGCCAGGCCCGAGCCCAGCCCGTGCGGGCCGTGCAGGAGGTCGTCGTGGCGCCGGTAGTCCCTGCGCGGGTCCAGGCCGGACAGCTGGTGCGGCAGCCCCCGGTGCGCGTGCAGGAGCCCGGACTCCTGGCTCTGGCGCTGGCCGGGCCAGCCGGGGTGCTGCGGCTGCGGCTGGGCGTGCAGGGGGTTCAGGCTGTAGGGGTCGTTGACGTGGGAGTAAGGATCTTGCGACTGCGGGTAGATGGGCTGGTAGGGCGGGGGGAAGTAAGGGGGCTGGAAGTCGGCATTGGGGGTGTGGGACAGCGGCGGGGCGCTGGTGTAGGGAGATTGACCTACGGAGCCCAGCTGCGGCAGCCGCGCCGTGCCGTTGCTGGCGCCGTCGTGGCGGTCCTGCGGGAGGGAAGGCGACAGGGGGCAGAAATCAGGCGGGGGGCGCGGCGGGCCGCGCGGGGAGGATGCCCGCGCGGCGCCCGCACGGCGCCCGCACGCCCGGGCCGCAGAGGCGCGCGCGCAGGACGCGGAGCCAGACGCCCCGGGAGCGCGTCGCTCCGAGGGGCCGCGCGGCAGGAAAAACCCTCCTCGGGCAAAACCCAGATTCCTGCGGGCCAGGGGGCGGCCCGGGAGAGCGCGGCGGGCGGGGTCGGCCGGGGGTCCTCGCGCGCCCTCCGAGAATCCGAGCCGCCCGGCGCTGCGGAGCCTGTTTACCCTGTTCCGTTTATTTGGAGTTTAAAAAAAAAAATCAGACACGTTCAAAGTGGACTGCGACTTCATGACTATTTAAACAGAAACATATTTCGCGGAGGGGCTGGAAGGAAAACACACGTTTGAATTAGCAGCCGAGAGAGACGGTTTGAAACCGAGGGATGGGGGGCGGGGGGCTGTCGCTTCCGCTTCCTCCGTTAGAAGTCACCCACCCCCCACCCCTTCTTTTTATTTTTTGCTTCACGGGGTCGGTTGATGAAACGAACAGGCGACTCCGGGTTTTTAAACGAGTCGGTCTTGTTGGCTTTAAAGGAAAAAGATGCACCCGGGGCGGAAACACCCCTCCCCGGTCTCCCCTAACTAGCGCCCGCGCCAGCCTGCAGGGAGCCGGGGCGCGGCGCGGCGCGGACCAGCGTGGACCCGGGGCCGGCGCGCCTGAGGTTCGGCGGCGGCCCGGAGGGGAAGGGACCTCGGGGCCGCGGGTCCCCACCCTGGTCCCCGCACGCCCCGCAGGACAGACCGAGCTCGCAGGGCGCAGGGGAGCGAGGGTGAAGGTGGCGAGAGGCGCCCGGGGAGGCAGCGGCGTGAGGCTGGGCGAGCCGGGCGCCCGGGAGCGAGGGAAGGACGGGAGCGCGAGCGAGCGGCTCGGGGCTCGGGGGAGCGCGCCCCGGAACGCCTGGGGTCGGGGGTGGGGGGCCCGGATGGCAGCGGAATTCCTAAGGAGAGGGCGCGGGGAGGGGGTCGGGAAGGGACTCACCATCGCTGAAAAACTGTGAACTAACATCTGCGAAGCGTCTGGGGAACCGAGTGAGGTGGAAACAAACCCGCCGCCCGAGCGCGCCCCACACAAAAGGCGCCGCGCGCCCCGCGCCAGCCCGCACGCCCCGGCTCAGGGCGCCACGGCCGCCCCGCGCGCCGCAGCCCCGCGCCGCTCCATCCGAACTCCGCCGCGGCCGCGGGCTCTGGCGCCCAGGGAGGCTCCCGAGGTCCTTGAGAAGAGGAAAAGAAAAACAGGAAGGAAAAAAAAGAAAAAGCCCCGAAAGGGAAAAAGGAAAAAAGTGCGTGCGTGTGTGCGCGCGTGTGTGCGCGCGTGTGTGTGCGCGTGGTGCGCGGGTGCGCGGGTGCGTGCGCCCGGACCCGCGGCTCCCTCCCGGGCGCGGCTCGCCGGAGCTCCCGAGCGTCCCCGCAGCCTCCTAATCGCAGCTATTCGAGACGATTAATCGTACACGAAGACTTAATAGGGGAAGAATGCCTGGAAATCGAGCGTGAAGCGGAGAGGCCACTCGCGCCGCGGCCGCCGCTCGATGCCGCCCATTGACGGCGCGCCTCAGTGTAGCGAATCGGAGGTGGGGAGCGCGGGCGCCCGGGACAAAAAGCGGGCGAGGGGGCGAGCGGGCGAGCGCGCGGGGGGCCGCGGCGCGGCGGCTGGCGAATCACAGGCGGGGGGCCGCATCTTAAAAGGCGGCAGGGCAGGCCCCGGCGGAAGAAGGCGCGAGCGAGCGAGGCCGGCCGGGCAGCGAGCGAGCGCCGAGCGGGAGCGTGTGTCCGCGTGTGTCCGCGTGCGTGCGCGAGAGGGAAGTGCCGGCGCGGGCGAGGGGCCGGGCGCGGGGCGCGGGGCGGGAGGAAGGAGGGAGCGCGGGGGAGGGGAGGGGCCGCGCGGGGAGGGGGGCGGCGGGCGGGGCGGGGAGCCCGGGCGCCGAGGACAATCGGGCCGGAAAGCCGGGGGCAGACCTCGGGGTGCCGCGCGGGCCGCGGCCCGGCGCTCCCGGGCTCCGCGCGCGGGTCGGGTGGGCGCTCGGGGCCGCGCGGGCCCGGCGCGGCCGCTCCCCGGCCCCGCGGCCCGGCCGGCGGCCCGCCGACGCCGGGCCCGGTCCAGCCCGGGCTCTCCCGAGGCGGGGAGCCGGGACGCGGCGGCCCGGGGCGCGCGGGGAAGCCGCGAGGCGGCCCCGCTGGCACGGGGCTCGGGCGCAAACCTGTCCGACTGGCTGGGCCACCCCCGGCCCGGTCCCCCCATCCCCCACGCCCCCCGGATGACACGGCGGGGCCGCCGCCAAATGCCAGCCGGCCCGCCTGGCTGTCAGAACAAGCGGCGCCTCGCCCCCGGCAAGTCCCTGCAGAGCCCGGCGTAATTAGGCAGCCCCGAGCCGGCTCGGAAACCCGAAATCCCAGCCCGGGCGCTCGCCCACCGCCGCCAAAGTTCTGCAAACAGCCGCCCGCACTCCCCCCCTCCCCAGCCCCGCGCGCTGCCCGCCGCTCCGCGCCCGCAACTTCTCCCCGGTGCCCCCTCGCCGCCGCGCGCGCACCCGGAGCCGCCCGCCGGCCTCCCGGGGAGACCGAGCGCGGGGCCACGGCCCCGACCCCAACCAGCCCGTTCTCCCCGGCCGCGACACAAAGCGGCCGGCGCGGCCCGGGGGGGGGGTGGGGTCTCGGCGCCCCACGCCGCCCGCGACAGGAGCGTCCGACGGGGACTGTCACCCACCCTGAGGCCCATCCACTGGCGCGGACGCGGGGAGCGGCCGGGAAGCGACTCCCGCGGGGAGGAGACGCAGGGACGGGCGGGAGCGCGCTCACGCCAGGCCGGGTCTGGAGCTCCGGTGTGGACCAGCCCCGGCCACGCAGTTCCAAAAGCCAAAAAGAAAGAGCGGACCTGGCAGAAAGGCCACTCACCTATTCCTCTCGGTACCACCCTCCCCCACCCCGGCCGTGACTCATCCCCGCGTCCCGAGGAGCTGTGGGTGGTTCCGCCAGGCCAGTTCCCAGGCCGCCCGTGGGCCGCCCCCGAGCGCCGGGGCTTCCCCGCCGCCGAGCCGGGAGCCGGGAGCCTGGATTTCCAGGCCGGCTCCTGCAATGAGCCTCGGCCGCAGGGACAGGCGGGTGCGGGGCCGCCCGCCCCCACCCCAGGCACCCAGCAAGTTGCTGAAACTTGGGGACTAATACAGAGCACCTTGGGGGGGCGCTTCCCGCGGCCCGGGAGGTGTGGGCGCCCGACAGAGCCCGCTAAGTGGGGGGCGCGGCCCTGCTCAGAGGCAGGGAACAAACCTCTCACCAATTAGGGAGAAATTAGATAAAACACACACACCCCCCCCCAGAAAAAAATCTTTAAAAAATTTAATAAGAGGGTTGAGAAGAGAAAGAGCAAATAAAAGAAGATGAACTCGACCAGAGTGGGGGGAGAGAGGGAGAGCGAGCGAGCGAGCGAGCGAGCGAGGGGGGAGGCGTTCTCTCTCTTCCTCCTCCTGGCGAGGGGCCCCCCTGAACCCCGCTGCAAGACAGGCGCGCGGAGCGGGCGGGCACGTGCCCAATCGCCAGCGAAGGCTTCGGACACGCTCGCGGGGCTCCGCGCTGGGCGCGGCCGGGGAAGAAGCGGGCCGGGGATCGCGGGCGCTCGGCCGGGCCAGGCAGGACGGCGCGGCCCCGGCTCCCGCGCGCGGCCTCGCGCGCCGCCAAAGTTCGTGCCCGGCGCCCGCCGCCGGCCGAGCGCAGCCGACCGGCCCGCGCTCGCCTACCTCGCAGTCCTCGTACTTGATATTATCCGTCAGTTTCCAGAGCATTTTCATGGAGCGGCGTGAAGCGATGGGCCCCTCCGCCTCGCGCCAAGAGGAGCTGCTCTGGGTCCGCTCAAAGTGCCGGCTGCCGGCCGAGAGCGGAGGAGGAGGGAGAACAGGAGGAGGAGGGCAGAAGGGAGGAGGAGGAGGGTGAGGAGGAGGGTGATGGGGGGAGGAGGAGGAGGAGGAGGAGGAGGAGGAGGAGGAGGAGGAGGAGGAGGAGGAGGAGGAGGAGGAGGAGGAGGAGAGAAGGCAAAGAGCTCTCGTGCGCGCTCGGAGATCTCCCTCTAATGGTAGAAAGTTTTCTCTTTTCCAGCTCTTTACCGACTGCCTAATCGCCTCATTAGCATATCAACAATAGTCCAATTGCTCGCCAGCACCGCAATGAGCCGCCGGCCTCTCCGACCCAGGTATAAAGGCCTCTCGCAGCCGCGAACTCGTTCCGACAGCCCCTGCCAGCCTGCGAGGCGAGGCCAGCCGCCCCGCACGCGCGCGCGCGCCCCGGACCCGGCACCCGCGCCCCGACCGCTGCGTCCTCCCGGCTGCAGCCGCCCGGCGCGGCGGGGACCCCGACGCCCTGCCCCTGTCGCCCTCGGTGCCTCTCCGGCCCGGCCAACATGATTAGAAATGATCTCTTCCGCGAGGAAATAGAATCGCCGAACCCAGCCAGGCCAACTCGCTCCAGCCCTTCTGCCCGGGGAGAGGCCTGGGCCACGGCTGCGCCGCTGCGGGCCGCAGCGCCCGGGGACTTTAATTGGCTTCGCGCTTCTCCCCAGCTCGGAGATTTGGCCAAACGGCTCAGGTCACTAGGCTGGGGTTTGCCATCCTTTAATTGCCGCGTGTAAAATAAAAATTGTACCCTGAAGAGGTTCCTTGACAGCTCCAGGGGTTAAATTAATTTACTCCCGTTTGTTTGCATGAAGATGGGCCACTGGGCTAAGTCTGGCGGAGGCTCTCCGAGGTGGACCGCGACGGGTGACCCGCCGAGACGCTCATGTGTCTGGAGTTGGGGGACACCCGCATGTGCTGAGCCCCTCCATACCGCCCCACGTATGCATCCAAATAAACTCTCTGCCGTTGGTCGGCTCCAGTTTTCCCAAGACACCCCCCCTTTTTTTTTTAATTAAAGCAGGGAGAGTTCCTTTATGATTCGGTGGCATTACCAGCGCGGCCTGCTGGGGGAGCCGGCGGAGAGGGACCCCTTCTCTAGCCGGGCCTACTGGTCTCTGCCCAGCTCCCGCCAAGCCAGGGGGCCACTAGGCTCTTGGTGACGGTGAGTTTGGTGGGTTCTTAGTTATTATTCCGATTTAGCGGGGCTTTAGACCTGGAAAAGACCAGGCCTGACGTGAGCTTTTGGGCAGGTCCGTCCATTTCCTGCTGAGCGGCAACCATGGCCCTTCAAAAAGTTTCTTTCTCTCTCCTGAACTTTCTCCCTCCAAAGCTCCCGGCCAAGGCAGTGGCCTGCGGGGCTCCTCCTGCGCCCGCCCGTCCCTGCATCCCTTCGGGGGCGTTTCCGGCGAATCTGCAGCCTCACCCCACACCCTTAGCCCAGGCCCAGACAAAGCTGGGGTTTCTTAACAGGTGGCAAGAGAACGAGGGGGGCCCCCACGTGCAGAAGAGCCAGTCTCCCAGCGGGCGGGTTGTGGGTGGGGGCCGCCTCCTGTGGGCAGCCCAGGCGGCCACGGCCTCCCTCCCGTCAGGAAAACAAAAAGAAAGACGAAGTTCCGAGGAGACTCAAGTGGGTGGGTGTGGGGTCAAGCTAGGCCCCTCCTGCCCGGTGCGGGCGTTCCCCCCCCACACCCACACTAGGGCCTGTGGGGGGGGGACTTGCCGGAAGTAGGGGTCCCGGCCTCTGTGCTTCTCCCACACCTCATAGCCCCTAAAGGCCCCTGGGGAGGCCCCAGCCGGCGGCTCACACTGGCAAGCTCCAGCACACAGTGCTCCCGGGAGTTCTGAGTTTCGCTTTCTTCCTGTGTGCTGCTGGTGTGGGCAGGAGGGCCTGTGCCCTCCCCACCCAGCCCCCTGGCTGGCCGCGCATCCCACAGGGGCACCCCGATGGAGGAGGCGGCAGTGTGCCCCCGCACCCCACCCCGGGCGCCAGGGAGGCCCGCGGCAGGAACACTAGGCAGGCTGGGCGCGTCACTCCCAGCCCAGACCCTGAGAGTCAGCCAGTGCTGTGGCTCCCAACGTCCCTGGGTCCCTGGCGGGGGGGGGGGGGGGGGGGGGGGGGGGGGCTACAGCCGGGGCTTCTGACCTGGTGCCGGTGGGGGGAGGGAGGGAGCGTCCAGAGCTCAGGGAACACAGAGTGCGAGGAACAAAGGGCCCATCCTCCACTGGGACCCGGGAGCCCCCAGGCCTGACCCTGAGGTACAGCCCACCC